CCCCCCCGCACCTGCGGCGGGGGATGCGCGGGATGCGGGGGATGCCCGCGGCCGGGCGCGCTCCGCCGGGGCGGAACCTCCTCGGGTCACCGGCGGCGCGGTGGCAACTTTGCGCCCTCGGCCCGGAGAGCTGCGCGATCCCTCGGCCGGAGCGCGCAGGGGCGGGAGGCAAACACACACACACACACACATACACACATGCACACATATACACAAAGCGGCGCTGGGGAAACTGCTGATTAAAACGATGCCCTTGGCGAACCTCAGACATCTCTGTGCTTCCTCGCCTTCCTCTTTGCCCAAAGGAAACCAAATCTTACAAGATTTCTAATGCGCAGAGCATCTCGCAGCATCCCTAACCGCATGGATTGCTGTTAAATTAGGCTGACGGCGGCTATTAGCGAGAAAGTTTGAGGGAAATAATAAACATCAAGACCTGTCAGAACAATGCCTCGTCCTTCTCTATACGTTAGGTACTGAGTCTGTAACGATCAAACATTTTTGTGCTGCTCAGCCTTCAGTAACAATAAATTAATGCCACTGAGACTGACTTCAGCATGTAAACTGCTATCAATCACAGATGGGTAGTGTGAGCATCACACAGATGTGCTACCTCCTGTGGTTTAGGAGCAGGGAGTTGTTTCAAGCATGGAGAGGGAAATGCAAACCTGTAACAATCAGGTGATAATGAGGAGGCAAGCTTTAAATCATAAGCGTGGGATTCCTTGAAAAAACTTTAAATTAATAACCTCCCTCTAAACTCTTTCATCTCTGTAGAAAATAAAGCCAAATATGCTTAAGTTCAACTGCAGTTCCCACATCTATCATCAACAGAAGTACCTCAAAAGCACATATCTGTATCCCCTTGCCTCTCCTGACAGATTTGGGGCTTGGCCTATTTCTGTTGCTATTTTAAGGCCCAAGGTGTGATCCTGGATCCCCTAAATACGTAACTCAGCGGAACTGCTCAGGAATGTTCCTTTACCAAGTCAGACCAGTTTATGAAGCTGGATCTTTTCAAACAGAATTTACCATTCCTCATCAAACATGAAGCAGTGTTAAACTAACAGCTGGAAAACTTTAGCTCCACCTTGTTTAAATCTGACAGACTACTGAGAGGGACAAAGATAGTCAAACATTCATTTTCAGGATCCAAATGTAACCTATCAAGTTATCACAACAGATTCTCTTAAAATGTATGTCCCAGTCCCTATGAAGTTCATATAAAGATCCTTGGATGGATCTTTAAATCCATGCTGTGGGTTTCCTTCACTTCTGTTTTCAGCCTTCCAGTTCACTCCAAAATCAACACAAAGAAGGCAGTGGGAGGCTTGTGTCCAACAAATGTAAACTGGGGGTCAAGACATTACATTGAAGTTCTTTAAACTGCTACAAAATTATCTTACAGTGGGTCACTGGGCACTCTTTGCAGTAGGAGACGCTTAAAGCCATATTTACTAATCTGTCTATGATAAAGTGATCCTAGTAGAAGCTTAGCAAGTAGAAATGAAACACAATGCTGGAAATATTTCTTAACCCCTCCCTAATTTGTATATTTAGGCCCACTTGTAGGAAAATAATTTTCAACATTCTGCTTAAATATGACTGACTATGTTGACAGGTTTGCCGTATGGCCCAATTCCTGCTACTTTGTCAGCACTTTTTAAAGACTGAACTGATAAAAAAAACCCTGAAAGATGAACTTCCATGTAAAAAATGTCCAGCCTTTGATGATATGTGCTGATGCAGTATGAGGAAAATTTTCTTCCTGGCAAAATTTTTGCCATTAGGTTATTTAGGGTCAACCCCAGCTCACACAGAGCTGACCACTGACTGACTCAGAGTAGTGTCAGATTCTCTTGCCCATAAGCCCAAAGACCCTTCCACAGGGCCATGAAGCAGTTTTATGAAACCTAGGAAGGAAGGACCATCTGGTGCCTTCCCAAGTGAAACAGCCTGGAATTCCTTTCTTTTTCCCAAATATGTGATTTTTCAGGGTGGCACCAATGCAAACATTTTTAAGTATCTCAGTTCCCTTCAAAATCTGACCTGTAGTCTTCCAGTGTCCACTCACCTCTCTGTGCAGCTGGCAGCCTCAAGAATGAAGAATTAAAACTGTTTTAAGGTGCTAAAATAATAAACAGGTGAAGCTTACACAAAAACATGAGCTAAATCAAAATCCTCCATGAAGGAACACAGAAATCTCACAAACTGGACTTGCTAACAAGTTTTCTTCAGGCATTTGAGCATTCCTGATGAGTAGGGAATACTCACTGGAGAATTGAGGACTACTCACAGGATTAAAACTAAATCAGGTCCAGGTGTTTGTTGCTTTCATCTGGCCTTGATTACAGAAACAGGTGTATGTTAAAAGATCAGAGCTTGTCTTTTGCAGTCCCAACACCTACATACTCTTCTTTTGAATAAATCTTGGCAGAAAGGTTCTCTTGGCTTGTTTTTCATGTCTGTTTTCCCTTTGTTCCCTTCCCATGAAAGAACTTTGAACTCCAAGTCAGATCTTTCTTAAAAGAACTCCTCCGTACTCAAAACTTTGCCATCGTTATTATATATAGACTTTGTTTATATATTATTATAGAGAGACTTTAGACTACTTATTATATATATCAGACTTTGCCATCATTATTATATGTAGACTCACAGCTGAGGTGAAAGTTTTGGTGGAAGAAATAACTGTTGATGAGAAGAAAGGAAAGATAAATGATGAGCAAAGAGAAGCCAGCAGAGAGTGTCAGTCTCACATGGGGCAGTGGCAGAGCAGAGAACAGCACCCAAATATTGTCTTTTGTCCCAGAGCTCCAAGCATTATAATATTTCCTTTCCTAAGCCTGATGTATCCAAATGTACCTGCCTGTGC